CCAACATGGATCAGTATAGTTTTATACCTGTTGACAGATGTTTAGAGGATTAGAGCTGAAGTGTGTAGTGCTGTGTGGAGAGGCACTTCTATTGCCTGAAGTATCAACTGTTGAGTACTGGTTCTCTGCAGCAGGAGAACTGGAAAAAAACGTCAAGAAACAAGCAGCAGTATCCGATTTAAAGATGTATGAGAGATGTAGTGTATTAGATAACTGGAAAGCCCATTTCTCTCTGACTAGAAGTAGTCACAGGTTTTAGCCAGTTCCCAACCTTTTTTGTTTTGGCTTGTGACCCATTAAAACAAAGCAATGACGCATAGTGACACCTCGTCAATGGTTGCATGTTGTGACCAGTTCAACAAAAGAGCCTTGCTATTTTTATGTCTGGATAATCTTTTGAGGATTATGAAAAGTAAAATCCACAAATTCAAAAGAAAGGAGATAAAAATTGAAAGAAATCAGGAAAATAAATCGTTTTTTCTTGCTTTTCTCTCCCGACAATCATCTCGCAGTCTCTCAGATTTATCTTGCGACCCCCGAGTTGAGATGCTTTTACTTTGATTAGATTGTTCCGATGTTAAAGAGAACATACTTTTGCCAAGCGGGGACAAAGTCTGAGAACAGGTTTAAGACCAAACACTCAACTGATCCATGCTTTCTGTGAGACTATCCAATGGCAAAAGCACCTCTTTTTGGTCAATTCCTTTTCCAATCTCTCGACAAGAAAAGGCTGGAATCCAAATGCAGTTTTTCTTCACCATCCTTCAGCCAGTCGTGATCAGATGCATGTTAACGTAGCTGTCCATGCAGTTTCAGATTTCATCTTGTATACACATTTTCAAGCCAGTGTATTCAGTCAATGTGATCCCACTGTGCCATTTATACCAAGATTGAAGAAGAATATATATATATATATATATATATATGTGTTGAAAATTGGTGCAGTTTTATGTCAACCGATATTAAACCTGCATACATTTAATTCCTTTTCAAATAGTACCTTCTCCATCTCAAAGCCTCTCTCAGTGTTATAACCGTCTAATCACTCCACCTTCACATTTAGCGTCAGTGTAGAAAGATATTGCCAGACTTTGTTGGATTCTGACTTGAATTCTCCTAATTTTTTTTGCCTTTGTTCTCATATCTGGCATCAGCTCTCATCAAGCAGCCAGGCATCATTTGGAGCTTCTGTCTTCTGAAAACCAAAATGATGGATGTGGTTGGTGAAAGTTGAAGTCACTGATTCTGAAGATTAAAAGTAGTTTTTATTGGCATTACAGATACATGCCACTGAAACATGTATCTGATGGTTAATCATACAAAAGAGGAACTGCCAGTGCTTTCTGTCCACAAGCTTATACTAGCTTCTGATTTTGCAGAGTTACAGAAGTGTAATGTTTTTTAATAGATACTCTTTTTAATTGTCCATTCTCTGTGAACAATTTTCAAATTATAGTTATCCTTTTCCTTCGCATTCACCTCTATACATCTCTTATAATAATCTGATCTCTTGTCATTTCTGTGCTCTGTCAGTTTCTATAATTATACCACTCGTGCATCACTTGGATGTAAAGGTTGAAGATGTGTATGACATTTTTCTTCTTTACTTTAATCTCTTTTGTGGCCTCGTTCTACATGACCACACCAGTGATGTGTGAAGTACGAGGTTCATTGTTTAACTCCTGTTACTCTGCATTCAGAAGTGATCGAGTTGTCCTTCCCACTGTTCATGTCATCGTGTTAGATACAGCCAATAGTATGTTGCTGTAAGCGCAGCTCGTTGTAGATAATAGCTGCTTACTATAATAATCATGCATTCTTTTTTGAACAGTGAAAGTCACAAAGTTGACACAACTCTTTATTTAACCTGCTTTGTTGTACATTGAGCTCACAGCTCTCACTCTACTCTCAAATGCACAGTTTACTTCCTGTGTTGTTTCCATCAGAACCCACCATCTGTTTTCACCTCTGCCTTAAGTTACTAGAGGACTTTTTAGTAGTATTTCAGCTATCTAACCCACCTACCAGCTTCTTTTTTGACAAATTAAGTGTTTTCTTGTCCCTTATGCTTGGCCATTGTCCTATTAGACAATTTTCCTGTCACTGTTCAGCTGCTACTATCAAATGAAGGGCATTAAAGAAGCCCCAATAATAATAATAATAATAATATTAATAAAGAAAAGTAGCTGAAGTATAGCGCAATCTGTTGCAGATCAGTTTCACCTTTTTGGGGCATCAGAAGCAACATAATCCAGCCCAGTGAAAATAATATTTGCAGAAACTGGGGTAAAAATGAAGATTTTCCTAATCCCAGTTCTAAATTTAGCTGCATGCAGTTTCAAAATATGACAGTGGAGGAACAGACTCTGTCACACCTAAGCCCTCCGCTTTACGTCATCACCCCACGATACTGCAAGAGACTTAAAGTACGAGACTTACAGTGACAAAGACTGGGATGCAACGATGCCAGTTTCCATGGTAACCAGAGAGCCTGTGACTGTTTATACTCCTGTTTTTGTGTTCTCATGCAAATAAACTAGTTAGATCACAGCAAAGTAAAACCTTGCTCCAACTGGTATTATCTGACAACAGAGCAGGACAGTTTTTATGTTTACCAAACACTGTAC